TTTTTTTAAAAACAAAAAACCATGATTATTTTGTTGACAGATTTTAAGGGTGTCAATGAGTCTGTTTTCATGTATTTAAATGTTCATAGAGTAGTGTATTTCATGCACAGGTGGTACTTTATTCAAGTTCAATTACAAATGTTGCTTGAAATACTGAATATAGCTTTAGCTTCCATTTTCTGTGTCTTGCATTGACTGTCCCTTTCCTCCATATTGACCACATTGTTTCATCTAATTAAGACATCTTACTTTCCAAACAATATTTTGTAAAATAGGCCCTTATTTACATTGACTGTTCCTACTTTATAATTTGCAGTGGATTTTGCTGATCCTTGAGGTTTTTCTTGGTATATGTGAGGAGATTTTCAGATCTGTAAAGGCACCTTGTGCTCAGAGAGTGCAGGAATACTTGTAAAGTCATAAGTATAGGCATACAACTGGCCTGAGGGTATATTTGAGACCATTACAAGTGTCTTTTGCTAACAACTCATACAGTTTAGAAGTCACCAATTACTTTTTTTGCAACATTACTTCAAGATGGTACCAAACGTTTCTCCTCTGAAAAATGTTGACTTGGATTCTGTGTTCTGTGTTCTGGTGCTGGTTCAGACCAACCCTCTCTCCAAGGTACTATGCTAAACTGCAGTAAAATGAAGATTAAATTACTGTCTCATTTTGGATGATTTGTTAAAGATGTTTTTGCTTGAAGAATGCAGCAACAATTTGTAAATGTAATAGCTTGTATAAATATTTATTCTTCTCCATAGCAAGAAGTTGCTGCAGCTTCTTTCAGTTTTCTTATTTCTGTTAGGAAACTTAAGAAATTACAGGTTTATTAGTTTGTTGCGTCTGCTATTTGTTTTGTGTGTTCATTTTCTGTTTTTCTTTGCAGGTGTCACCACAGATGTTATAGTGATTTCAAACACACTCTTGCAGTGTTCTCCATTCCTGGCTATGCTTTATAACATTTAAATCTTAAACTTTACTTTCCAGTTTTAGAGATCATCTTTTGATTTTGTCCCATTATAATTTTGTTCATTGCAGACTCTATTGCCTCAAAGCTTGTTGTCTACAACTCCATCTCAGGTCTTCCATTCAGTTCTTCATAGTCTTCTACGCATTACATAGTAATATTTCAACTAGAATTTTTCTTTCTTCTTCATCTTCATGCACAGTGATTAGATTTCTAATGTTCAGTTTCTGGTTTTGCAGATCTCTAGAAGTATTGCAGTACAAGTTAACAAAGCACGTAATTTACTCATTCTGGCCAATGTAATTATCTTTTACTACTCCTGTATATACATGGTCATCCTTAAACCAAGGATGTCAAGTGTCTGGATCTATTCCAGAATGCCTTGCTTATGCTCAGGATGTGAAGCTACCATTCATTCAAATTCTTAAATGGCTATTGAACTCAACCTTGACATTTGTGATGAAATTGGAGCTTTCTCTGTGTCCATGGCAATAAAGTTACATCCATTAGGAAGGTTTCTGTTTACTCTTCCTAGCTATTTCTTGGCAGAAGTGGACAGTTAATTTGATTATAAAGTAAATATTCACTTGAAAGATTTTGACAGATTTTTTAAACTTCTATGTCCTAGAGCTGCATTTAAGACTCATTTCTTTCCCTGTTTCTGTCTTTATTTTGTTTTACAACTGTAGTGTGAAAATGGCTAAATACACAACACTTTTGAGGATGGGACTTTAGGAAATATGCAATTTTTGCTGGAGGCTGGATGCATAATGTTGCACGTATTGTAGTAGAGTTGGAAACACTGGAGCAAAGCACCTGGCTTTTGAAAGTGCTATCGCAATGGCTATGCTTTTCCACTGTTAGGAAGCCTGGTATAGCCAGTATTACATGCTAGTATAGTTTGAGGAGGTTGATAGCTACATACCCTTGCTGTGTACCATAGTCTGATGAACATAGCTGCCAATTCAATCTGTGTGTCTCAAAGTTGCAGAATAAAAAGAGATCCTCACCCTAGTTTGGGCTCCTAGGTGGTCCAGGTGAAATCAGTGTCATAGTCAAGAGGAATTAAAAGCAGAGAAGGCAGGTTATAGAAGGTCAGAAGTAGGAAAGTTTACTGAGGCAGAGGTAGATCTCAGTTAACATTTTATTCATTTTTACTGAACTTGCATATGACCCACATTGCTGCTGTGAAGAGTAATGTTTCTTCCTGATAATCTGTGGGTTCTCTGGCACTGCTTCTTCACTTGAAGCCCAGTCATTTATGACTTTCGAATTTCTGTATGAATGCTGATCCTCTTAGACAACAAATGGGAAAAGAACGGTTTGGGAGATACTGGAAGAAAGCAAAAGGAAATAGGAGGAATGGAGACTGTATGCCAAGATAAGAAGGTAGAACAAGAGCAATGACAGCTGTCCTGAGGAAGGCATTAGTGCTGCAGTTCTCAAAGTGAGAATATTTTATTTAGTTCTAGGGTGGTATGCTACTGTAACCATATTCTCAAGGTCATAAACCTGAACGTAAAAAAAATCGTAATTCTACCCTCTCCAAGAAACACAAAATATTTGGTTTTGATCATATTCTGTTGTCCAAAGCTGCACTTCTAAAATAAATATGTATGTAGGCATGGGGGAAGGAGGCCTCCTTTTTTTTCTTCTCTTTTATCTTGGAAGAGGTGACAGGAAGTGACTCTGTAGATTCCAGATCCAGCACACTAGCAGGAAGAACTATTAGTCTGTGCAAGAAGCGTGCTGAATACGTACCTGATTTTTGTCTTGTGCAGGAGAAAGATCGCAAGCCAAATGCAATGTATCATGAATCATGCTGAATCTGCTGGCTACCATTTAGACGAGTGATAGAGTTGTACTGGCTGGTCTGTAAAGTGATACCAATTCATTTACATGTGTAAAATGATCTAACTGTTTCTTTTCTTCCTCTTAGTACATTTTTCCAGCTTCTGTGCTCCAAAAATAATTTGTTTTTTTACCTCAGTGACTAACACAGCTATTGATTTTTTTCTTCTTCTAAGAAGATGACTTGCTGTAATTATAGTTGAGATTTTGCATCCCACAATCACCAGTGGAAACATTGCTTGTTACATTCTTTAGTTGAGCTGTTTATCACTTAATTGTGAGACAAAACTGGCTCTTGGCAAAGATTTAAATAATTTTTTGAATATAACTCCACTTTAGGTTATTTGTAAAAAAAGTGACAGTCAAATTAGAAATTTTTTAATATCAAAAAGGTTAAATTTTAAGGAAAGAATTTTTCTAACAAATACTCTTACATACAGTAAATCCTGGCAAGCTTGTTTATACCAAGAAAGGAGGAAAATGTAAACAGTTATATGAAGTTATTATATTGAGAACTGAGAGGTCAGTCAGAAGACATTAACATGCAGATATGATCTGTTACACTCAAAATCTTGTTATGGACAAAGGGGAATGCACTTTATATACTGAGCTAAGAATTTATGGTTCATCTAATTAGCTTTAACTGTCTAATAAAATTAAGTCCATATTACCTAATTATTAATGTTTTGGTCATAATAAGTTTATAATCTTATACATAAGCTTCCTACTAACTCCTCTGGTTATTTGATGTTATGCCCCCTCTTCCAGCACTTCTCCAGGTCTTAAGATTGACTATTCAGTCTTCTTCAGGAAGGAGAAGACTTTAACAGTAATTAGCATCTTGGGTTCTCCACCTCCTCTTCAGTTTTGGAGTCTGCTTAAGGCTATTTTTTTTGTATTTTCTTAAGGTTGCTTACTTGCTGCTCCTCACCACTTCCCAGGCAAAGTCTGGGAGCCACACACTGCCCTGCCCCAGCCCCGTTACCCTGGAGGGGCTGTTTGTCCCTCAGTGACTATGTAGGGCTGCCAGCTCCTGCCCTGGGTGCTCCCAGAGCAAACCAATGCAGGGAGTCCACAGGCACGTGGGCACCAGGCAATTGTTGCCACAGCTAAAACCAGCTCCCACCAAGACAGGGACAGATATACCTTGAGACTCTGCACTGCCAGCTCCCCACCAAGCCTCTGGCCTTGTGCTAGTGATGTCAAAAACCATATTTACTGGACTACAGAACAGAGTATCCCAAACATTTGTCTTGCAATTGTTACCGACTCACAAGAGATGTTACAGTCTTTCGAGACTTCACGTGAGTAAGAACTGATCTCAGTGTGTTTGCAGTGTTGGATCTTTAATATTTATTATTGCTGGCACATAGAAGATTGCATAATGCAGTTTTTGGTCAGACAGCTACCTAAAATATTTATTAGTGTGAGAATGTGATCCTTTGTGTTCAGAACAAATGTTCTTTGATATTTTTAAATAATTGAACAACTTTTCTTGAGTGAATCAGAAATCTCATCAGTTGTCTAACACTGGTTTGTGATGCTTAACTGTCTTTGCTTAGAAATCAGTAAGAATAGAAGTGAGGAGCAAATGCTAAAAGATAGGATTTTTCAGAGTTCAAAATCCAGATAAGTAAGAAGAGATGCAGCTTCGTTTTATTATTATATTCACCTAGACTCAATTAAAACCTGCAGATATTCATGCATATATGCTTTATTAGATGAATGTGATACATATCTAAACCCCATAGTTTTTAATGTGTAGAATTTTAAAACACGCTGGGGCAATGATGGACTTTATTGCTTTTTAAACTGCTTTAAACATAGTAAAGTGTTGTACAATCTGATAAACTGAAATCAGTAACTGTGAATGTGCATTTATAATAGTCAGACTTTGAAAGCTTTTTTTCTAGTGACTATTGCTGTGAAGTCTGTTCTGCACTAATGAAATTATTTTTTACTGTATTACATCACATAAGGAAACTTTAATGGCTGTTATCAAGTTCTTTTCACTGCACTGTAAGCAATTTAGGAAACTCCAGTCAAAGTACTCCCACATTCTGAGGCTTCATTGAAAACATCTGGCATGGGATGAAGATTTGCTCACTGAATGACCCTGAGTAGGTAGAATTGTTAGTATGATTTTTGGTAACTCATTTTCCTCTTGCCTTTGCAGACTATGGCACTATTAAGAAAGTACTTGCCCCAATGAACCAGACTTCAAGCAGCTGCTTGCTTGAGGAAATCGAACTCCTGCCGAAAAGTCAGCAAGAGCCCATCAGGAGCCTTCAGATCCTGCACAGCCAGAGTGTCCTTTATGTGGGCCTTCAGGAACATGTGATTAAGGTCCCCCTGAAGAGATGCCTCTTTTACAAAACATACAGGTATGAAGAATCAGCTAGTTTGATTTAATTGGAAAAAAATGCTTGCAGGGGCTTGCAGAAAAATAGGAAGGAAAAATGACTGTAAGTAGGATTCAAAATTAATTACCTCTCTCAGCAATGACTTTCTATGTACACTGTTTATCAGAAGACTTCTTGGACTAACTTGTTAGCACTAAATGAGACTCTTAAGGATTTATATTGATATTTAAGTGTCATTATGCAAATTGTGGATTGTGAAATGAAACAATAAGAAATGGCTTATATAGAAAACAGATATCTGATAATGTGCAATGTATCTGCTGGCTTAAACTTGGACAAATTCAAATTGTTTTTTTTGGGGGGTTTAAGCTGCATTATAGCTGAGTAAACAATATCTGTGGGTTCAGAAAGAAAACTGGATTGCATGAACTGAGAGTTAAGACTAGTTGGAAGAGTGGCTATTTATTTAAAGGTAGTGCTGGATCAGGAAGCCATAATAAATGTAAATATTCTACTAGGTGAAATCAAACAAGGAAAATCACTTGCAGATGATCACTTGGGTTTAGACTGTATTATGGTAGTTAAGGAATTTAAAGTTCAGCATACAATTTTTTTCTATAGGTTGTCTAAAAGTACTTCTGAGTGGTAAAACATATGCTATTAGAGATTATTAATTTCATCTAATTAGTTATATCTTCCCTTTGATGTAAGCGTGGTTCCAGTAATTCAGTACAATTGTTCTGGTTTATGACAGACAGACTCTGAACCAGCGTGATGAGTTTTTTGAGAACTGTGACAGATGAACTTGTTTTTGTTTAGCTTGCTTTGCTTTCAACTTATTTAATATATGTTCATTTGAAAAGCTGGGCTGTTAATGGAGGGAGAAAGGCTGCCAGTTGCCTTTCTTGGCTGCTACATTCAGGATCACAGAGATGTTACTTGTGCAGCAGACAGAGAGATTATACCTCCTGTGAAAGGCAGTGACCATTTGCAGGTGGAGATGTTTCTGGCTGTCAAAGGGACCATACACATAGTCACAGCAGGGAGGTGACCACAGGACACAGATGTAGAGCTATGGCTTGGAAACAGTGGAAGGACTTTTCCAAGGCACTTGGGTCTACATGGGGATTGGTGCTATGCAGGAGGCCAGTGAAAGGCTACTGGGCTGAGGACAAGACTGGAGGAAAAGCTGTGCCCTCGAAAACTGAAGTATACCAGAGAAGGAGAGTATTCTCCTTATTACAGTTCTTTACCAGCCCTTTTTTTAAATGTTGTGTTATGTCGCATATTTTAGGCATTTGTATCCATGTGTATATATCTGAAGAAAGAAAAAAATCTAATGATATATTATTATGCTTTTCTCTTTGCTTGAATATGACATGATTATACCATTGTGGTTATATTAGAGATTGAACATGTTTCCCTAAGCAGATATGTTTATTTCAGAAAAGGAAATCAGACTGTTATCATGTGTTTTCATAGGGACTGTGTACCCATGATGGCAGTCATAAGCACAGTAATACAGGTGTCCCATATTTAAACCAAGGCTGCACTCCACTTCAGACATTTCAAGGCTGGAGCCCTATTATGTTGTTTGTAAGATGTGAACTCTGAAATCTAGAGGTGAGATTTACACCTGCTTAGCTGGTACCTGTTTGGAGGTCCCACAAGGTACCTGTGCTTCTGTCAGGACAATTCCCAAGGCACATCAGTGCTATCTTGGCTGCAGGGCTCAAACATGCTTCTGCCATTGCAGGGCAGGGCTGTTTTCTTAAATCATAGACCCCATGCATGGCTGTAGGCTAGGCATTCCTCTCCCTGTTTGACAGGATTTTAAGAGCTTGCTTTTTTTAATTTAAAAAAAAAAAAAAAAAGCTGTTCCCATTTTACTGCGTAGAGCAGTAGTTAAATGGCTCAAATCCTGCTCAAATGATAATTTATTCCTCTGCCCAGAGGTATGTGAAGTCTCAACTTCCACTAGAATGACTTACTTAAAAGGAGATAAAATTATTCCTCATGGGCTTTTCCAGTCATATCTTTCATAGCTGTGTGACTTTCCTTGTAATAATTAAATGTCTGTTGCACCAAAAGGGTTTCCATCTATGCTTTCTTCTTGGTTAAAGTGTTCACCAGCATTTCTAGCTCTGTTTTGTGAGACAGGAGAGGATTTACAGATGTGATCTAGATTAAATAAGGCATCTCCTTATCAATTGTCATTAGGAACTCGGGTAGTCTGGAAAATGTAGGCATAATCTTTCTCTCACCTATCACTTACTTTTGGCTTGACTATTTTTTCCTAGCTTATGCCAGATTTCAAGCATTTTTAGTTCTGTACAGGCAGAGAGAGTGTAGATACCTTACTTGTGGCTATAAATTTAACTAGTTAATGGAACATCTGAAATTCAGGCACTACGTTGGTGGGTGCTTTAATATGCACATTCTTGTTATATGTTGCCAACTATTATTTCTATCCTATAGCAATGGGTAAATAGAGTAATGGGAAAACCTTACCTACGGTAATACCTTGGGGCATTGTGGTTCTTTTTTGGGATTATTTTAATTTTATCTCTTCATGTTTATCATACTTAGGGCTGTATAACTATGTCAAGGCTATATTCTGAGCCTCCATCAATAAAAAAAAGCCAAAAGGCTGAAGATATACTAGCTCATCTGCTCTGTATCTTTGTGTCAATGACAGAGTGCTCACCATCAAATATTTTCTAATCATTTTCTTTAAGTTTATTGCAAAGCTTTCAGACAATGCAACTTTATTCCCTCTGTTGAGCAGACTGTTCCACAAGCTAATATCTCAATGTCAAGATAATTTTGAGATTGTCTATTTTTAAAAAAAATTCATTATTCTTTGTTTTATCTTCACGTACTAGCCTCTAAAGTATGTGGTTATTGCTTTTATTTTTTAGTTTATTATGTCTCCTTAATTATCACTCTGATATGTTGTACATATTTAGCTAATTCATATTTCCTTGTGAATCTGTTCCTCCAACACTTTGCTGTGTTGAAGTCCTCTGTGACATGGTGTTGCCTCTGACAGACATTCCCTCTGATTTAGGACAGTCCTGTTCTGCACTAGCTCAAGGCTCCACTCCCACAAACAGTCCCACAAAAAAATCAAAGGCCCATGAAAATATTGTTTTACATTTGGAGGCTAAATTTGATTTTTTTTCTATTTTTTTTTTTGTATTGTAAAGTGGAGCTTGCTGCACTTTTACTGTGACAGCAGATCATAGCACAGGCAGCGCCTGCTGTCAAGCCTATTGCTCAGCATTTTCCATTATGCCATGATGCTTTCGTTGTTTCTGAATTGCCCGTGCTAGTTATTTAGATTGACAGTTTTGGTTGGTTTTTGGTTTTATTTGGGTTTTTTTTTTTTTTGAGGGGGGGGTTGCAGTTAGTGGGAGGGTCTCCCACATACTTCTGCCAATGTATGAATAGTTTTGAACATTCTGTCATAATCCTGCTGTTTTCAGGAGTCAGCTAGGGAAAAATATTTTGGGATATGTGAGTTCTTACAAACAGTTCTCCAAAAAACCCTGGCATCTTCGTGCACCAGGAGAAAGCGGCAGAGCAATTACCTTAGCTCAACTCTCCTTGGGGAAAATCGTTAAGATTTGACCAGGCTGTTATCAGCTAGGTATAACAATTCACATACATTTATCAAACTTTTACAGAAGAACATCAACATTATTCACTGGAGCTGCTCTTTTCACTATGAATTCTCTGGCTTTCTGTACTTCTTCAGAGTTGAGTAGGCCAAGCATAAAGCACAACTGACTTTTATATACCTGCTTATTAACTATAATGTGAGATAAATAGAATGATTACCATGAAAACGTAACTATTAAGCTCTCTAAAGTTGCAGTTTTTGCTATTTTCTTTGGAGGCTTTATGCATCTGTAATAAGGAATAAGATCTGTAGCAGATCTTGTTATAAGGAATAAGATCTGCCCCCTGAAACAAAGAACCAGTCAGCTTTCTTTTATTGGCAGCTGTAACCTTCAAAAGCAACCTTGGATTGCAGTGATTTATCTGAGAGAAATTTGTTGATCTTATAATTTTTACTGGAGTTTTCAGTGCATCAGTTCTGAAAGTAGGGGCAATGAAAACTTGTATCAGCCTAGTTAGTGTTCTGCAAAATCTTACCAAGCAAAAGTCAAGAACTGGTATTTCTGATGGAAGATAGGTTTCACACACATAAAATGCTTAAAAACTAATCTTACTATGTTGTTATGTCTAAGTAAATAAATAATGGCATCTGCTAAAAGCTGTACAAATAGTGACTTCTCTGGTGTAAAAAAAACCCAAACAAAACAAAAAACCCAACAAACTGCTTATGGAAATGTTTGAATATTGTTTTTTACATTATATGCTTAAATATTATTGCATCATAAGATTGTCTTGCTAAGTAATGTTGTCATAGCTATTCTACTGTAACTATAACTTTTCTCTCTCTGTACTCCATTATTTTTATTTTGACTTCTTTGTTAGCCATCAGCTAAGCAATCTGTACGTCCACAAAAGATAACTCTAGCAGCACAGTACTAAAAAGGGTACTGGATTAAAAAACAGAAGAAAACAATTATTGCAAATTTGCTTATGTTTTATTTCATCCTCGAACTCCAGCAACATTACTGGATTAAGTATTTCATCCACTGTTTTATTCCTTTATTTTGCCTTAGCTGTAGATGTTGCTTCCTCAAAAGTACTCTCACAGTCAGTATGAACCTGTTTTCCTGGTCATAAAACACTGACTATTGTTACATAGTAGAATAATTATTCCTATATACCAAAATTATAGAAGTTAACAGTGAGTAATATGGTCTAAGCTATTACCAGGTGCTAATGTGTCCAGAAGAACTTAGCAACACGTGGAATTGAAATTGCTGTTTTGAAATAATCATTCCAGAACAGTTATTTTTTGATATCCAGGTGGATTTCCTTATTTCAGAATATTCAAGCCTTATTCCATTTTAAATCAGAGAAACACACTGCTTTATTAGAAT